ATCTTGCCCCCCCTCACACCCTCCAGAAGTAGTGACAACGTCCCCACCCACAATTACAACCACCAGTCGTTACAGCGTTGAGTCGGCTGTTATCACAGGGACACATTGGCGCTTTCTCTTTGAAGCTACACTGATAAACTCTTCACCTGTTTCTCTGTTGTCCTGGGACAAAAATAAAACTCCATTCATTTTTATTCAGTTCACCTGCCACTCAGGGATAAAAATAAAATCACAATCCATTTCCTGCTTAGGCCTGACAGTTGCTTAAATCAAAGAGTGGCTGAGAGCAATGGTGTGTAACGAGGAGATGGGAAGGAAGACGGAAAGGATCAAAAAAAGAGGCAGAGAGGGAGTAATAAAAATGAAATGGAGAATAAGAAATGAAGACCGTGGGAGTGGAGAGAGAGATGGGAACAGAGCACAAATGGCCAGAAATAAGGAGATATAAGGAGCAAGAAACAAAAAAAGGGAGTGGCAGAACAGTCTGACACTTAAACATACCATTCGATAAGGCCTGCTGAAGCTCTGAGTCTGATATCACACCACTCCGGTCCTTGTCGACCCTGGGGAGGGAAACACAGATTAGATAGCGCCTGCATTAACCACTTCACACACCGCACACAATGGGAGCAGGCATCAGCACTCGCCAGCTGAAACTTTATCCTCCTGGGCTCGTGTTAGTATTTCAACAGTTCACTGAGAATGAATGGAGTCCTGTGATCAGAACACACAAGGCAGCTTGTATGCTCATAGCTCCCCTGAGACTGGCCAGACGGGCTTGTGTGAGTGTGTGGGAATGCGTGTGCGTTGATCCTGAGACAGCGAAGTGAAAGTGAAGGTTGGCAACCGCACAAGTAACTTGTCGTGCAACCGGCATAGTGTCAGCTTGCAAGAAGCTCAGACAGAGCAACATATTTTTGAAGTGAAACCAAAACTAAAAACAGCCTGAGGCTTCAGAGAAGAGTTCTGTAAGGGAACCTGAAGCTTTACATAAAACAAACCCCTCACCCCACCCTGTCTCTGCATGTCCTGTCTGTATCCTGTTTACTTAAGTAAAGACAAAATGCATCAAAAACAGCTTCCAACAAATCAACATGAGGAGGAACAGGTCATTAAAAAGTATCAATAATTATTGATAGACTGAAATGAAACATTCATTGTGATAGATTTTCCACCCAACCATTAGACTATAATATCCACAGATATTCAGTTCACAGTGATTTAAAACAGAGAAAAGGCACTGAGGTTAATGACATGGCAATGGTTTGGGTGTCCTTAAAGTAAAGTGTGTATTTTTATTATTTAAAGATAGAAGTGAGAAAAGTGCGCACACATTCTAGGGAGGTGCTAGCTCCTTGGCTGACATCAAAGAAAGAAAGAGAAAGCCACACTTAAGTGTCTAAAGGTAAGAAGATATGAATAGGCTGTCAAGCTATTATGGAAAAATTAGTGTCTATGTCTTGGCTTTATCTTTTCAAAAGGATCTTTAAACACCCCCTGAATTAATAGGTGGAATAAATTCCAACAAGCTGACGGGAGTTAGTGAGGGGAGATTTTTTTTTTTACTTTTATAAAACTTGAAGAACTCTTCTTCTTCTGTTTCGTCAAAGTAGAGCATATAAATACTTTAAGGACATGTCATCATCTCCTGGCTAACTTCCAGCAGTTTCAGGTTGTGAAAAAAGCCCATACTGGTAGTTCGGAATGAGGGAACCCCCCTGCCCAGATAGAAAGCTGTAAGGGCATCCTTTTGATTGTTAAATACAAGGCAGCTCAGATATGTTTACAAAACTCAGCTAAAGAGTCTTTCTCTGAGATAGAGACATAAAAACATTAACAGGCTGGACGGTGACACATATAACGGACCTCACAGTTTGACATGAAGCTTAGTCAAACATCCAGTGACTCAGTTGTTCCTTAGCAACCTGCCTGGTCCAACCTGTCGACACAGAGCCCGTTCGACAAACACAGTCTGAATACCAGCAGAGCAGAAGAGGGAGGGGAGGAGAAGGGGGAACCCCCCCCTCCCATAGCACCGGCCAAGCGCTGACTATGTGGGCTGGGTTACCGCTCCCAGCTGTGACGCTCCATGTGCGGTCACATCCCCATGTGTGCTGCCTTCGTGGCTCTCAGCACAGTGATCCTCAGCTATATGTCTATGTACCTTGCCCCCCACCACCTAAATAAAGAAAAACAAACATACAGAAACCTTCCCGGTCCCCCTGGGGAGAAAAACATCTCTCAGCATTCCTCCATAAATGAGAGCTTTGTCACAGTGAAGGTGAGGAGTGGTTGTGTTGGTGCAGGCAGTGGGGGTACCCAACCTTTACCAAACACTGATAGATTAACTCAAAGAAGTATGTGTGTACAGTAAGAGCTCTCCCCTCCTCTCCTCCTCTCACTAACTCTCACTAACTCCCACTCACTCAGCCTCAGGTAAAGTTACCTCACCAGATTTTTTATGTAAAGCGAGCTGAAAAAAGGGAAAACATCATGAAAAGTCCCTCCTGCCTGCAGCACTGACGGTTAAGCATCTGGCGTTTTCTTCTTCACCCTGTCAAACACGGAGCTCGTATCTAAAAACAGGCGGAAGACATAAAAACACCATGGCCGAGTCGGTTATTCAGCTCAGATTTTCCCATGTTTCACTGTTTCCCATTAAGCAATCAGGTTGGAATATGGCTTGCGGAATAATGGCCGCCCTACTTTCCACATAAACGCTCCAAAAGTAAGGCAAATGTCACTGTGGCTCCCAAAGCGGAAAAGAGAAACTTCCAAATTAAAGCTGCATTCACAAAACCTTCCAAGGAAATCCTGGTGTCCAACAGCTGGTTTCCATTGCTTCTTTTTGTATTTTGATGTCTCAACTTTTACCACATGTAAAATGAATTGACTGTAAAAATCTCACTCACTCCTGTTCATTTATTCTACATGAACCAAATTGCCTCCCCACAAGTTCTAATTTGTTACAGACGAGTTTGAATATGTCGTCTCTAAAATGTTCAGCGTGGTTCAGTGAACATGTTGTTGCACTTGCTTAGCAACAGATCTGCATTGTTGATCTGAATCCAACCCAAAGTCCGATGTTGTTTTCAGTCTTGAAGGGTTGGGTGCAAACATTTTTGTCATGCCAACGTTTGTTCTTTAAAAAGCCGGCAAAACAAGAGGGAATCACTACCTCGTGATTCATTCATTGTCACGTCATGGAATTGAATATGTGTTAAATAAACAGACACAACTGACCGCAGTCCACCTTCACTACTCGCTGTGTGAAACACCTTGAGAATGAGTGACTTCGTTTCTTCTCCTGCCGTGATTAGACAGGATAAAGAGAGTTAAGTGTGACTTAAACTGAACGGATTACCAAAGACTGTGCAACAGTGGGATGGGTGAGTCATACCGTGTACAAGTCACACACAGATTGAGAGGCCTACCGCCTCAACTATGCTCTATTGACTCTGATCACATGACCGAGGGAATTCCAGCACCGCTCTGCTAGTTGTTCACCAAGAGGCAGCAGATGAGGCAGCACAACGCTCGTGAGAGGGATGACTGTGTGTGTTCAATGAAAGTCATATTCCTCGCATTTGTATGACGTCTATCAAGTGATGTACATTAGTCGTGATAGTCATGAGAGGCGCTGGGAATGGAAGATTAGGAATGTGTGAGAGATAAAGACAAACAAAGACGTATATGAGCGGAAATTTGTACATCCAGCCTGATTTCTGAAGGGGTTTTGCACCATACATAAATAATTTGTTACGGGTGTTTCAACCCTTGCAATGCGTGCAGCATCTCAATGTTGTGAGAAAGCAAAGCAGCGGGGGAAAAAAAATCCTCTGCAGTATTACATAACTCTATAGCTTACTACAACCAGGGGCCAAAGCATATCAACTATTTCCCTCTCTGCCTACTACTGTGACCTTCTTAGCTGCTGACACACTTTTGACTCAGGCTTTTGGTGATATTGATGACTATCAGTGGTTGAAAGCCGCCACTGATACTACAACATCAGCTCAGGACCAAATAATAACAGTTTATGTTTGTTATGGACAGAGGCGTCCACTGTATTCACGTCACAATCACTACACTCTGCGACATATGGACTCACAACTGTCTGAATTTCTTAGGAAAGCCCATCCTGAGAGATGGATGTTTCACTGCTGACTTGAAGCAGATGCAGACAGAGAGATTCATTCATTAAATATTCTCTCACATCTCTAGTTTTTAAATGAAAAAAATCATAAATTAAAATGACTTTATTTTGGTGAGATAACACAGAACAAAAGCCTTCAAGGACTCCTGGAGGTCTTTGGACCCCAGTTTGTAAACTCTTACTGCTGTGTTAAGATAGTTCACTGGTTGAGTCAGCTGATTGCCTGTAACTTCATTTATAAGGACAATTAAACGCCGATAATAAAGTGTGTGACACAGCTAGGGTACAGTAATGTAATGCACTGTAGTGTGAGTGTTAGTGACGTGTAATAGCTATGTGTTGTGCAGTAGTATTTTCCAGGAAGCTCCACAACTGAGAGGTATACAAATCACTCATTTCACTACCGGGGCACTGCCGTCAGACAAACTGTAAAGGACACAAGATTAGAGACAAGAAACGGGAGTGTCAATGAAACATTAAGTGTGTGAACCTCTCTCTTTCTCTCCGCGCCACAAACGACAGCAGTTTCCACTGCGGAGCGGAGTGAGAGACAGGCAGGCAGGCAGGCAGGCAGACAGACGGACAGACAGACGAAACAACCCGCCTTTCCCCACTCACCTCTGGAAGATATTCCACAGAAAGCCCTGGTCCGGAGGAGCGTTGATGTGCGGGGGGGCTTTGTACGGACTGTGATACGCCATTTTAAAGGGAATGCTCTGTCAGTATTGAGCGAGTAACACCGACGGACTGCCTTTCCTCCGGCCGTAGTTTCTCCTCTGAGCGCGGCTTCAATCAGACTCCACCACCCCGACGCTACCGCCACCGCCTGCCTCCTCCTCGCGCACAGAGGGCGTGGCCAATCATTCACCACTTCCCATAAGGAGGGTGACGTCACATTTTCCTCTCCTGAGTAAAAATAGAAGTTGTAATATTTAGGCTTATGAAACTGATTTTAAGATTTTTAAAATAAAGATAAATAAATAGCCATGAAATTAATTCCCTTACCATAACTTTAAAGACAGTGAAGCTACAAATAATTAGTCCATGTTCCAATCTTGTGTCTAATTATTCATGTATGGAGCATTTTAGTATTAAAACCTTTTATAAAATTGAATTAAACTTGAACTGGATGTAATATTTAATGTAATATTCAGACATTTTGTAAAGCGGATTTGTAGTAGTGTAGTGCTTACTACAGAAGTATTAACAACACAATGCACTGAAAGTGTTAAAAGTAAAATGTTACTTAAGTTTACACTATTGAATCCTTATTATTGATGCATTCACATGGAAGCAGTTCTTGAAAGTTGTTATTTTAGCGAATTTCCCAAGTGTGGCATCAATAAAGTCTTCCCTATATTACTTATCTTGGTTCGTATGGAGCTAATTTTAATTTATTTATTATACTGCTGGGTGGTTTTATCTGTAATAATGACTGGAAACTAACCAACTATAGCTGTGATGTGGTTAATGTTAATGTTGTGGTGTGTGAATGGTGAATGTGGCGGAGTAAAAAGTACAATATACTGTATTTATGTAAGAATGAAGTAGCATAACATTTAAATACTGAAGAAAAGCTGCGACTCCAACATCCACTGAACCAGAAAACTATTTATTATTTATTTTTCCATTGTTGAAATTCAATTTCTTTTCTAAAAACTCTAATACATCTACCTGTGCTGTGCATACTGCATATACTGTCTATACAGTCATATCCACCTACCTCATATACATAAAGAAACCTGCACGTAAATATTTATTTCAGCATCCTTTGCACTGTTGTCTACCGTCTACAAATGTTATTGTTTTTGTTTGTTTACATATATTTATAACTGTACATAGTAGTTTATGTGTATTTTGTTAAGCTTGTTGTCCTGTTTATTTATGCTGTTAGTCTGTGTTTGTACATTGAGAGCAACATAAAACCAGAGTCAAATTCCTTGTATGTGTGCACATACCTGGCCAATAGCAGCGATTCTGACCACAAACTTGCAGCCTACTTACTTAGACTATGGTACTTGAGTACTTCCCACCACTGCTAATTACTAGAGTAACACTTCTGCTCACTGACACAAGTTTAAAATAAAACACAGTAATGCTGTAGTGTACTTGTTTTCTGCATTCACAGGTTTCCCTAACTTGCTAAAACACCACTACCTCAGTTTTCCAATTTAACATGAATGCATCATGAGTGTTTACTTTCAATGTGAAGAATCTCGCAACCTGATTGGTCGAGCGTGATTCGACGCGGGAAAACCGTGGCACGACTCTCAAAGTGTCACCGTCAAATTCACTTGAGACTCCTGAAGCACATCACTTTCCCCTCAAAGTCTCTGTTATATATAGAAACGGTAAAAATGTTTTACTACCCAAATGTCCTCCAACGTCATTCTGGATGTTTTTCCACAATTTGGTGAGTTTTAAAAAAAGCTAGCTCATTAACTTGTGCCAATAGAGAGTGTTAAGTTAGCTACTACAGGCTAATCTTTAGTTAGCTACAGATTAGCCTGTAGTGTCAGCTAAGCTTTATTTCTATATTTTATAAATGTGTTTTTGTTTTTCAGGTTAGCTGCCACCAGAGGTATCAGGGTGACTCGCAGAGAGCTTCTCAAAGTCAATGTCAAGCGAACATGGTGAATGGCTAATGATAATGTTAGCTTATATTAGCTGTCTGGTGATTGATTAAAGTCGGTTAGGCCAGATAAAAACGTGTTTAATTTTCTTGTTTTATGTTTATAGTTTTTGTATTTGGTTTTGTAAGTATCAGCTACCAATATTTATCACTTAGACAACCGCATATTTCTTGGTAATGCGCTGAGATGTGCATCTTTAGCAGCTTCCTGTCAACCAGTCTGTAGGCAGGTTTGTTTGTTATCGTTTGATCATTGATTGACTATGAAGATAATATTTTAACCTAAAAATAAGAAATGTACTCAGAGGGGATTCAGGACAGAATTGAGATTCAGTGGTCGAAATAGTAATTAAAGCTAAAGATAAAGAGTTGGTAAAACTTTCATTACCACCTAAAATAGTATAAAATAGCACCTTAGTGTTATGTTATCTTTGAATTTAAACATTTTTTATGTTATTTTTAGGCACCCAAGGACTGACTGATTGTTTAAGATGAAATATAATGTAAATGTTTATTATTCATTTTGTTAAACAAACAGCGGGGACATTGTGGACTATGTGACAGCTCAGGTTCCTCCACCGCAGTCCGACCTACCGAAGCCTCGGTTCTCTCTCTACCTGTCGTCCCAGCTGCAGTATGGAGTGGTTGTAGTCTACCACAGGCAGTGTGGCTTCCTGCTTGGTAAGGGGAACAAACACAATGGAGCAAGAAAGAGTAGAGAGAACAGAAGCAGAAAATTACAATAAGTCGTAACTCTCCTGCAAGCTACATTGTCTACACACAATGTACTGTAACTTCCTGCTAGGTGGGAGAGAAGAAAGAGATCATTTATAACTTAATGCTATATAAAACTTACATAATGTTGGTTTATTTCCTGTGGCAGCAGTCTTAATTTATAGTATATGTCAGAAATCAGGGAGTAGAGTGAATTAATTTGGATTAAAACAAGGGAATCATTTTCCAGCTGCTTACTTACAAAGGATCTGCAGAAAATGCAGTCGATGAGCAGGATTATTTTCAGTTTAATAAGAAAACATTATTGTCTGATGGTCAGCTTTTCAGGGTGAACTCAGGTGAAATATGAAAATGTTTGTTCAACTTATGCAAAACATAGCAGACCAGTTGTCTCTGTCAGTTACAGAATGTAGAAATCGCAGAAATGCGGTTTTGGTGTAAAGCCAAAACAGTGCTGTCGTCACACATCTGCAAATCACCCTGGCAAGTCTGATTTAGAGGCCAATATAGAGCTGATGAATGCAATATCATCAAACACAGCTCAACAGTCTCTATTCATCTGGTCTTAAATTACACCCTGACACTGATATTGCATCCGACAGATTCACAATCATGCCGTAGTCATGGTTGATGAAAATGGGGAAATACAATGCTGATAAGCAGGAGGAGAAGCCAAGAAAGCAATCACTGTCTCTTCTGTTTTCTATAGTGGCTCCTGGATTCAGCAATGGCATTTCATTTCATCTATCAGTAGAATTGAATCCCAAAGCTGCCACGTACAATTGAGAGTGCATAATGTTTAAGCTGTATTTCATAAGCACCACATGGTGGAGTTTGTCTTCTCGGTTTCATATTATGATCTTTTAAAAATGTGATAAAAATATCTTTCTGGGGAAGCTTTGATAATGCAATAAATTATCTCTAAAGCTTCATACAAAGGTTAAGACAAATGCACCCTACAGAATTTTCCATTATTTTTTGTTCATTAGTCCAGACTAGGTTGTGAATTTCAATAAACCCAGAGTTTATGCAAAAGAAATTACTATTAAAACAACATTTAATTACTAGCATTTCTTGTTCCCTTCATTGCTTCCTCCTCTTGTGCAGAAATGACACCAGAGTTGTGTGTGAACATTTTCAAACCGTTTTCTTTTTTCTAGAGGAGGTTCAACAGACCATTGACCGCCTGCTGCGCTCTAAAAGATGCATACGTATTGACATGGCTGAGTGTGACAGGTCTGCACACACACACACACACACATACAATTTGATCATGAGCAGTGGAAGAGTGTTTTGTATCCTGGGGCACCTAAGATTTTAAGCTGAATCGTGCAGCAGTTGGACGTGTTTGGGGAAGTCTGAGCTCAAAAGCATCTGGTGGAATATTTATGAGTGAGATTGTTTGGGGGAATAAAGACTGAAAAGGAGATGGTATTGTTTTGTTGAGTGAGTGATGGACAAATGGAGCTACTCGTGTGATTGACTTTGTAAATGTTTAATAAGCCATGTTATGGAACAGTGGTAATGTGTGAGCTCCTGTTTCTGCATATGCAGTATATCTTTGCTTATGCTAATCTTATCCCAGTAATATCAGTTTAAATCATTTTATAAATCCATGAAACCAACAGCATATATTAAAGTATGCGCAGTGTTGCATTAGCTAGTACAGCACTGAATGTGTGATGTTTTAATATTTTGAGGAGTAACATTGCTCTCTCTTTATCTGGCAGGCTGGCCTTGGATGTGCCTGACAACCTGTACAATATGGAGGAGGCTGAGGGAGCTCAGGACCCATTCTTCGGTCTCATGGAATCACATCAACTTCCCAGCCCCTATAAAATACACCAGGTGCATATACGATACACACACCAGTACAGCCAAAGGTTGTAACTTACTGTCTGTCTCTGTAGTGTAGCACAACAAAACTCAACAAATATGAAATGTATCCGTACACAGTAACCATCCCCAGGTAACCTGCACTGGATATCAAACACTCACTCTGCCTGGATGGATGTAGTTGTATTATTATAATAATAGTTATTTACCATGACTTGTAATAGTAGTAGTTTTAGGCAACCTAACAAACTATACATATATCTATATGACCCGAAACACTCAATATTAATAATACATCAAACCCGTACCCATAATATTATATATTTATAACTCTTAATGTCTCAGACAAACTGCAGTTTCCAGAGGAAATATTCCCATGTTGAAGAACAGTTAATTAATAAGACAAGGCCTCTTATGTAAGACTGTTTGGGACTTTGGCTCTTTTCTTTCTGTAATGCTTTAATGTTTGATGTCCAAAACAGCAGTTAATTGATCAAAGATTAAAATTCCACAATAGTAAGAAGGTTCATCAGACCACATTCAGCACAAATGCTGAGTCTGTCTTACTGCAATCCAAATCTAGAGCTAACACACACATATTGATGTACCCTCTACACGACCACATACAGTAGGTGGATGTGATAAAGTATGCTCTTTTCTGGGTTTTCCCACATAGTATGTTTTCTTTTACACACCTCATAAATTACAAGCTTTTTACCATCACAGTCAAGTACATACAAGTGAATCATTGTTTCATGGCCTTACATACAGGTCACAGTGCAGGTCACTCCCATTCTCACATAGCATATGTGCGATATTTCTCCATACAATCTGTTGGTATTCTCAGATAAAGTAAATCACAGTAGATAACTCATTCTCACTCTCTGTGCTGTAAATCTGGTAAACTCTGTCCTCCTTGGAATATTTCCCTGTGGAAATACCATGTTAACAGTTAAATCACGAAGACGACAGCATTGGAGGCAATAATATGAAAATATTTTATTGGGTACTATCATGGAATTTAAACTAAACTAAACTGGACTATGGCTTTCAGAATGCAAATTAGAAACTGCTGTGTATTTAGATTTATTTTTTAGTCCATGTGAAATCAAAGTAAAGCAGTTTCATCCCTTTGGTACACAAAGGCAAAAGAAGAAAACATATTGCTTCTGAATCAACCTAACCTCATGTTTTAACACATTTTGCTCACAAAAAGGTTGTTTTTCATCAGGAGTTCACACTCAGGAATCATCCAGGAAGTTAAAATAAATCTGTTTCAGTATTCTGTCTTGTAATATAATATTTGCAATGTATATTTCTAGTCAGTGTTGGTGATTGAAGAGGCAGGTTCACAGCACTCCCTGGTGCCCAGTCCCCACACCACACTCGACAAAGAGGGTGAGGCTGATATTTTACCATTTGAAAGACTAGCTGTGTCTCATTTCAGGGGTGCCTTTTCAAGCCCACATTTCAGGACCAAACATGTGATAATGGGTTCAAGAAGCTTTGAAGTACATGGTTATTTTTTGTATTTATGATTTGGGGAGGGTGTGCAGGTTTAGCATACTAGTATACAGTCCTCTAAAAGCTACACCTTTGTAGACCTGAGATGGACACAGAATTTGTAATAGTGGTTGTGGTCACATTTTGCATGTTTCCAGTCAAGATAATCCATCTTCAGAGGTTTTATAAATGGGTCAGTTAATTTGCTTAAATTCCTTAAGTGGATTTTCTTCTAAATTTAAACTTTTGGCACAGGAAGGCTATTTCCACTCCTGTTAGGAAAATTGTGAATAAATGCTCTGTCATCAGCAAATGAATCGTATTTTATCTCAAACACATCGGCACCACGCCAGGCCTGGGCCCAGATGTCATTGTCCTGGCTGCTTTTCCCCCTGAATTGCCACAAACACAGATCAATCTCAGCTAGTCTCACATCCTTCTTGTGCTACAACCACATCTGGCTCCTTATTCCTTATACTGTGTTAAACCAGGTTTCAGGTCACCTCCAGCTGCCATCACCCTGAGAGAGAAGGAGCTCATCACCACTGCTGAGGTAAACTCTGAATCATTGAGCTGGGATGTAGACCGTGTGGCCACAGCAGCTTTAGTTAAGGTCTTTGTCACAGTTTAGCTGCTCGCTTGTTGGTCTTGGCACCATTCTCTGTGGTGATGATGAAGTAGCATTAAAGCAAGTACAGACTCTATATTGTCCTGTTTTTGACAATGATGTTTTGTTTTCTTTGAACTGAATTTTGTGGGAGATGTGTGATTTTTTTTCCCTGTTCATTTTCTAAATGGTGTGTATCATGCAGTGAAGGTAATGGTGTAGGGAAATACCCGATGCCTAGCTGACTGTCCTGAATTCACCTCTCAATGTCGATGGCGCTTAAAAGAAGACAAAGCTATATCATCTTAGTCATAAAACGCAGCTGTGGCAGTTCCTCCACACACTATTAGCCTCCTCATTCCTTTCACTGAGGGGCTAATAATGCCCCTCCTCAAGCCTGATCAGCTGATGAAGTCAATTTTGGCTTGATAAGAACTGACTTAATTGCATCAGCCTGCACTCACAGTTTGTTTACAGAGATATGTGGCTCACATATCTGTTGTCCTCTGCCCCCCACTCATCTGCCCTTTGGGTTTATTTTTGCTTTGCATGCAAACATTTAGTCATTTCTTTATTTGTCCTTCTGTTTTTGTTGTTGGTGCATTTTACTGCTGCATTTTATATCACTTTAGTTACATTATTATTATTCATCACTGTGGACACAAAACAGACCAAATCTAGCTTCCGTTTGTTTCTTATCACCATCTCTTTATTTTTTAATATCTGTCACTCTCTAATTGTCACCCTATTTCTGTATCAGCATCATTTTGAGGGAGATGACCTTCCTGAAGCCACAGCCAGAGAGATTGACTTATTGATGGATCAACCAGACCAGTTCCGTGGAGGTGTGTGCCTCTGCCTTTAACATTTATCTTTGTGTATGATGAGCATTGCATATGTTTCTTTGTGTTTTAGTAGTTTCATCTGATGTCATACTGTCTGTTTGTACTAAAGTCACGGATCTAGGAAGTGCCTAGACCCTCAGTGTGTTCCTCTCTTGTAATGTGTCTGCACCAGTCAACCAGATCAAATTCTTTGTGCCACTGCTGTAATTGAAAAAAAAAAAAGAAACTGTTCTCACTCTGAGTGCTTTTGTTGCCAGAAAGAAAAGGTTTATTTTCAGGAGGCTGTTTCATTTCAGGGGAGAACAGAGTGGGAACATCTCGAAGCCTGCCTTTCTTTCACAGACACTAAGAAAGAATACATGACTAGCACTAGTGCAAAGACAACATGTCAGTGTGTTTATTAATCTTTATTTAATCAGACGGTCTCATGAGAGTAAGATGTCTTTTCTAAGGTTCCCTGGTTGCTCACCTGGTAGAGCTGGTAGAGAGTCCGACCTGTGGCCCTTTGCTGTGTGTCATCCCTTCTCTCTTTCCCCCTTTCCTGTTCATCTTGAGTTGTCCGATCTAATAAAGGCAAAAAGCTCCAAAGAATGTATTTATAAAAAGGATCAAGAACAAGAAACATTCACAAAAACAACCCACAAGCAGGAACAACACAATAAACAAAGAAACTATAAAAAGCTGTTGGCAGAATCACGAAAATACATCCCATAATAAAGCTTTAAAATATCTGGGAATGCACCACTCAACAAAGGTTTAGTTAGGTAGAGTTTGTTTCCACTTTACCTCCTGCATTAAAACTGCAATGAGAGAATGGAAAGGGAATTTGTCAAGAGGTTTGGTACGACTAGGTTACCGCTTTCTCTAACAATATCATCTGATTGTTAATAAGCTTTATACAGACTGGGGTTTATGTGTTCACTTGGGCATTTGTTTATTTGTGTCCATGAGTTGTATGTCAAAATGATTTCTCTGTGCATTATGTATGTGTGTGTTAAACAGAAGTGGAGGAGCAGATCACAGAGGGGAGGACCAGGAAACTTGAAGGAGCCATGTCCTCTATTGACCGGTGAGTCTTGAAACTTTACACTGACAAATGATTGTCACTCCTACAGTAACTACACAGCTCAGTGAGCGCTTTCAGGGCAATGACGTAAACGTCACAGTGATACTACCCTTCTGTATCTGCGTGTGTTACAGCCGGTTAACAAACAAGCAGATATTGACAAAAGAATTGTCAAGTCCTTAATTTCAAAAAAGCCTTTGACAACATTGACAACTGACTAAATATTGTATCATCTGTCAGTCAGACAGGATATTTAGCTCAGACCTGCGAGGACAAACCATGTAACATGACAGATAAATATATTTGGTGTGAGTTGAAACATTTTGTGTACAGTAAGCGTGTGTGTGTGTGTCATTGTTTCCAGGCTGAAGGAGACCGTGCTAGGAGCACAGCAGGACAGTGTGTGGCTGCTAGACGAAGAGTCAGGTCTGCCCGTGGAGGTGCCTCTGGCAGCTGTTGCCCTAGAGATGACCCCACTGCAGGTTTCCATGCCAACTACACCCTCTGGGGCATCTGGGAAAAAGGGGGACAGAGCCACAGAAAGTCCCTGTGAAGAGGTGAGACATGGCTGACGCTGCATATTGACTTGTTTGTTCAGTGTATATATAGTTTTGTATTTATGAAATTTTAGTTTTGGTAAAATGTTTGAAATCTATTCCAGAGGCATACATTTTCTCTAACTTTAGTTATTTATCAAAGTGTCTAAATGGAAAATACAAACAATAAAGTTTGGTCTAAAACAAACCTGCTGTCTAAATTCTGAAGTGTAGTAAACACAGAGATGACAGTGACAAAGCATTTTCTGTTGTGACAGCTGTCATCAACTTTAATTTACATTCCACAAAGTGACTCATGAGCAGCTTGTTTCGTTTTGGAAACATGGAAAGCAAATGTGGGTGTGTCAGCACATAGATTCATAATTTCCACTTTGTGTGCTGGAGTGTGGAGTCCTTTTTATAGATCCAGTACTGTAAACATTAAAGCCGCGTTTCTCACTCTGCCATCAGGGGATTGTCGTTCCTCTTAGGAAGACCCGTGGAGGTCGCGGGCGTCAACTGGTCTTTGCAGACCCTGAGGTCCAGATATCTGACAAAGCAATGGGGGAACAGATCCGAAACCCGCTGGCTGAGACACTGGACATGGTACAGAAACACACTGAGATACAATTTAAATTGGTCCACTGTCTTAACATGCAATATTTACATTGTTAAAATATTCCAGTCATTTAAATGGAAGTGGAGTGGAGTTATTTGGGTTTTTGTCTGTGATCTCGCACACATGCAGCATGTTAAAAACTGCCCTTTCTCTCCCACCACACGATGACTTGAACACACACACCATGCTAAAAGCTGTGTATACTGTATGCACACACTTAAATACACATTCTTTCAGCTGTAACGCTGACCAATTGAATTTTCAGTCTTTGCTGTTCTGTAATCAAAGTCTTGCCATCAAAGTGTCTATTCACCAGGGTGTCAGTTAATTAAACTCCAGCTCTCCAGCTCTCTTCCTGCTCTCTAAACCCACTGGGAGAGTGCTCACTGATTTTATTTCCTTCCTTCTTTCTTTTCTTCTTTCCCTATTCTTTCCTTATTTCTTTAATTTCCTTTGAGACACTATCACTGGCTTTTACTCCTCCTCTCTCTCTCTCTCTCCACTGTGTACTATAAAAACAAAAACCCTATTTGAAACTGTTCCATCAAGCTAATATTTTGTTCTTCCTCTCAGTCTCAGGTGTTGCTGGACTTGCCCTCCTTGACTAAGCGTGCCACTCCTGCTCAGCTCTTCAGCGCCCCCTGTGGATGTCAGTGCCAAGTGCTACACTTTCACCCTGGCCCTATTGACTGATCATTCTATATTTGTATTTATGTTATGTTTTTTTAATATGGCCCACAGTCCAAAAAGTTTGGCCACCACTTCCCTAGAGTATGAATCATCATAAACTTTGTGTGTTTTATAATCATCAACAACCTTGTAGAGGCTCTGAAACATTTTATTAGTATTGATTACAGCACTTTACAGCAGCCTGTGCGTTGCACTAGCTTTCCACAACTCCTAACACCAGCTCTGGTGAAGAAAATACAAATTACTGACCAAAACATGCCCTTTAACCCCTCCACAGGCCTCCTCCATGCTGACCTCCAGTCACTATGGAAACAGAGGGCCTTGCTCACTGTCCTGTCTGGAAATGGGGAAAAAGGGGAGGAGGAAGAAGAAGAAGAGGAGGCGGCGAGAGGGGAGTCAGAGCAGGACAGAGAGATACTGAGGGCAGAGAGGAAGAGGAGGCACTCAAGCATGAGAGAGGTGGGTCTGTGTGAAGAACATTTTGAGTCTTTTAAGTCTGGATTTTTTACAGCTTTTCTCCTGGTTCCATATATGGATCTAAGGTCCGGTAGTAGCCGTATCTGTGTGGAAAAGGATTGATATTCTTACCAATCTCCAGTTTCAGGTCATGTTAAAAAGTATTTGTGAAACTGTGGTTATAATAATAAAGGTTATCCATTAGCCTGCTAGCCTGCAGTCATAGCCTGCCAACCCACTGTTCAGTTCAGTGGTGAGACAAATTAGATTATAAACCTCATTTCTATTTCATGAAACTGCCTCTCTCTCTCTCCCTCAGATATCCAGTGAGTCAGGACTGCAACCCGCAGAGGGCTCATGTAAGAATCCCTCCTCTCTCACACACACATTACATTCAGGGCATGTTGTGGCAGCACAATAAACAATATATTTCCTTTATGTTTGTGTGTGTAAACAGCTGCATTGGACATTATCCTGGACATGTCCAAAGAGGACAAATCTGTGAGCGATGTGATCACTCCTGTAAGCAGATGGTGAGTCTTAGATGGATAGACAGACGGACAGCTAGAAGGATAAAGAAATAGATCACTGTGTGTGTGTGTGTGTGTGTGTGTGTGTGTAGGTCTCCACAAGAGGAGGCCCAACTATCCATGGAGCCAATAGCAGAGGAGACCATTGAGATGCCCGAGGCTCAGACTGACGCAGTAAGCAAGGACATGCTGAGGTACTTAATACAATATACACAACACACACACCCTCACAAACACACACTGACCATGACTTTTCTCATCATGACTCCAAGAAATTCATGAAATGGCCTTTTAGAGATGCACAGCTTCATGTAAGACATCAAGTGAAGAAGCTTGACCTCTGCCCCTGTGGTTATTTATGCTTTAGATATGGATGGTAAAAGATAATCTATGGATCAAAGGTTTGAGTTTTAGATTGAAGAATATGCTTGAAACCTTTCTGAGAGATTTTTGATTGTTTACTCTGTGTAACGCACTGCTACTTCCTTGTGTTGAGTGTTGAGTGCTCCAGATTCCAGCTTTGTTGCCAGAATCATCCTGAGGTGATGAGTGTTTTGTGGCATGGCCCGTTATCGTCCACTGAGTGAATAAATGTAGACTGTGGCCAGTTTTAGTGGTCCAGTGCTCACTGGGGCTTCACTATACTCAGGTGTTGACAAGTTGTGGTTTCAGTGATGCTCCTCTGCAATTTTGTGTGCTTCCTGTTTGATCAGAACATGTTCAGTGTCAGTTATATCTAGTACCGTGTGTGTATTTATTTTTATATATATATGTGTATATATATATATATATATATATATATATATATATATATATATATATATGTGTATATATATATATATATGTGTATGTATATATATATGTGTGTGTATATATATATATATGTGTGTGTATATATATATATATATATATGTGTGTATATATATGTATATGTGTGTTATATATATGTTTTGTATATATATATGTGTATATATATATATGTGTGTATATATATGTATATATATATATATGTGTATATATATATGTGTATATATATGCAGATAAATTTAATAAAGGGTTTGTTGTTGTTTTGGTGTTTTATTTAAGTTTGGAAAGTCGTTTCCTCGTCGGTTGTTCGTCCGTTGTCTGACATCTGTTTTGAATTCAATGGGCCGTGGCCTGGGGACCCTGGCCAACACCTTTACCCATCCATGTACTTTTATATATATATGTTCTATTACTATCGAAACTAAACATTGGAAGCTTAATTCCAAATATGTCTATATCAGTCCTCCAGGTTCACACTGCTTTTTCTTTTCCAGCTGGGTCTCCTCCAGCCTGCAGAGGTTTGGAGAAGCCAGCTTTGGCTCTCTGGTGCCCCCAGAAGCCAACCGCACCACTGTAGCTCACACACTCTACAAACTGCTGGGTGAGGAAGTCTGCTGCTTTCATAATGTTCATGTTCCTCATTGACTCGCATTGATAACCAGGAACAGTGATGGACTCAAATGTCAGTTAAAGATGCACCTCGATGTTTGCTGTGTCCTATGAACACACACAGAATACAGTGTTCACTTTTACACACTGAGTGAAACATTGTGATGGTATTAATCAGGGATGTTTCTCTTCCTCAGAGCTGCTGTCTGCTGGACGTGTGAGTGTGCGACAGACTGAACCCTACAGTGTCATCAGCATAACCCCTGCAGCGCTCAGGATGACAGCCTGAACATACACACATATACACACATACACTTACTCACACTATAGAGCTGCAGAGGTACAGCTCTTTTTATTGACGGATATAATGGTTGAATTTGATCCTATGGCTCTTTTAGTAACACATGGGGTCATCAGATCTCACAGGTCAAAGGTTTTATATGATATGGATTAAATTAGTGCCCAGTGTTTGAAAGAATGTTTTTTAAAAGAAGATTTTTAGCCTTTTTAATCTGGTTCAAATTTCTTCCTATTGTTGTATTTTTAAATATTTATTAATTTCACATAGTTATTTAAGTTGTAAACATCTGGATCCAGTAGTTTTGGTTATACAGTTTATATCTTCTGTGATGATTTTAGAGCTTTTTATAGACTTTGTATCAGCAGTGTGTTTTTATATCCCTTTTAATAAAGTGTTTTACTCAATAGAACCGCATATTATCTCTAATTACTCAATACAATACATAACATTAACATACTCAGACCTGATAAACTTTGTATAACACATTAACAAATATTAACTTATAAATATCTTAACAGTACACTGAAAACCCAGAATATTTACACACAACATGAAGCTTAAAGTTTGTTCTGGTCCAAAAAGAAAAAAAACAGCAGCCAACAAATCCAACAGTTCTTTTAAATATTCTGATTTGAGCTCATGGTGCAGAGAAAGGTATGACCAGAAAGCACTTCCCTCACTCCAACAGGAGTCCACATTGTGCCTCGCTGGCTGAAAACTCCTGTCTGACCTCATGCTTCAATAACTCCACACAATTAAAGTGTTTGCTCGTTAAATGCACTGGAGACTGCTCTCTGTGTGTGTGTGTGTGTGTGTGTGTGTGTGTGTGTGTGTGTGTGTGTGTCCATACTCATGTGGCACCTCGCTGTGACTGAGAGGCCTGAGCTGAGGTCAGTGCTGCAGTCACAGAACAGAAATCCTAATTCACATCAACACAGAAGAATGGCCATTTTGTTGATACCACTTGTGATACATTCAGGTTGCGGTGCTGTGCCAGGAAATGTCCTTTCCACTGCCACGTAATGTTTTGATCCAAAAATACAGCTCAAAAGCAGCTTGACGGTTAGTCACCTCTGGCACAAACAGAGGTTACAGTGGGTGTCCCACTCCACTACTGCTGCATCCCTGGCACCGCGGGACAAAATCTAAGTGTGACTTCACTGTACACACACACACAGGCTGATTAGGACAGTAAGGGGGGAGGAGACCAGCTACAACACTGACATATTATCACCTTCTACAGTTGTTATGGTTAGCAAACAGCAGCTTATTTCCAAATCCAGCAGACATGAAGCAACATTAGCATTCCACCTAACAGATTCAAGTTGTAGCGGTGTGGCTCTGCTAGCTGCTAAATGCTCAACTATGTTCACCAGTTAGTTTCCAACTGTGCTGGGTGGATAGTGAGAGTGAACCAAAGCAGTCCTAACATCAAAAGATGCATTCTAGTGACAACTGTCTGTGCGTTCACCACCAAGAATGACCCTTTTCACGCATCAGTAGTCATGTGATCCACTAGAAAATCCAACATGTACTCCCATAACCTGCTGATTACACATTCAACCTCCCTTTATACTCTATACATTCCCGGGCCTTTACATCATCTGTGTCCCTGCACAGTGCTGACGTGAGGCGGCTGTCTGTGCGAGAGGATTTATTGTGGTTGCTCATGGAATGTAACATGCTGCGAGTCCAGAGTGTCGGATTGGTTGGAAAAAGATTCCTGCTGTACAGGACCACGTATACCTGCTCCACGGGCATGGGGACGACACGTGTCCCATGTTTGTGTCCCCCTTTGTAAGACGGAGCAAGGACGCATTTTTCAAAAGTTGAATATGTGACACGGCGTCGTGAACGGCCCATATGTCAACCTCCCGCTCACCTAAACTGTCAGAGAAATGAGAAAGAGGGCACGGAGGGGAGACAAATGATAAGTGGAGGTGTAGATATGGTGGATAATCTCATTACACAGTCATAAATCTGTCCACGTTGAAACTGAAGTGACCTCTTAGCATGTTGTCATGTGTTCTGTAACTAAATTTATACATTTAAAATGTTTGAATAAAAGAGAAGTCATAAAGAATCACACACCTTCTCCATTTACAGTCAAAACATACACAAATAAACACTTTACCCACGCCCGGTCAGAGTGATAATCACACACACACACACACACACACACCTCGCAGTACAAACACCACCATCCGTCCATCACCCCCCTGACAGTCTAATAAACCTAACATCTGAGTGACACATAACACACATTCATACCGGCTGCTTATATCAGCCAGGGGGGCAGAACACAAGTGTGCTGGTATCAGACACACACACACACACTCACACACTTTCCAGAAGCCTTTATCATCAGAAGAGGCAGAGCTCTGAATCATCGGCCCCCGAGAGCAGGAGGAGAGCAGGGCCAGTCGGTATCTGCAACAACACGGCCGCTGGAGACAAAGAGGTGCAGACGGCGAGCATCAGTCAGAGATAAAGCGGGCTAAAGGCGAGGGACACGGTGCGTTATTCTTTTTTGAGATACTGATCAGAAAGTCAAGCTGGCAGCGGACGAGACAAAAAGCTTGTTGGAGGAGGCCGATGTGGAGCGGGCCGACGGAGGACAGGACAGCCCAGCAGGCGGGGACTCCCCCAGGCCATGTGGCAAGATGGTGCGTGTTGAGCTGGAGTGGGAGATCCCTATGTCGGTGACGCTGCCCATCCAGGTGCAGCCCGACCCGGCGCACCAACCGTTCCCCTTTCTGGACACGACACTGGCTGACCTGGGCATCCAAGAGTGAGTGAGCTCTCAGCGCGAGGGGGGGGCTTGAAACAGCACTCTGATATGCATTGCTTAACAAGTCTGTGTGCTTATGTGTGTTCAGGTCAGAGGTGAAGGAGAGGGTGGTATGGGTCGACACCAAGAAGACCCAGGTTAAGAACAAAGCAGGGAAGCTGAAGGAGAAAGAGATCACCATCCTAGAGGTATGGGAACTGAACTTCCTGATCCATCTTGAGCTCATTTTTTGTCTTGATCCACACGGATGTCTGAGGCAGGGCGGTAAGACGACAACCACTGTGTTTCCTCCTGTAGGTGAGAGTGAAAGCCCAGAAGCCTGGAGACAAACAGCTCCAGGAAGTCCTGTACAGCACAGAGGCCCACACTGACCGCTCCTTCTGTCGCACAGGAATGAACATCCTGCCCTGGAAACACAGATCTACAGGTGGGGAAGCAGTTTCCATCAATCCAGCAGCAAAATGCTGCAATTTAACACCTCAAGTTCAAGTTTTAAATGTAACATACTGCTGTTATGTCAGCTCTCAGGGTTTGACTCATTGATATTATAATGGAGGATTAATTTCTGTATGTGCACAACCGTGACCCAAAAGTCACGGAGCCCTGCCACAGTCTGTGGCACCCTCTCTGATAACGGGTGAACTGTCAGACTGATCCTCAGGCACTGAAATGAGATCATTGTAAACATTACATCAGCGTCCAGATAAAGCCTTGGACCTCAACAGGAAATTATGAAAACCTGTTTGATGACTGTATCTCCTCTGGTGTTGTGTGTTACCTCATGTTTCCGTAGCTGCTACAGAGGTGTGGTATTTGTCCCTTTCAGCGCTAGCACAGGCTGATATATCTGCGTGGTTTAAGTGGCGCATGCATTTAAAATAAGTCTGTTTGTTTGTGGCAGGGGAGGACGGACTGACACCGGTGCAGATGACTATGGCGTTGGAAAACCAGCAGCCTGACATTACTGAGGCCCAGGGACAACGGGAGATCTGAGGAGCAACAGAGAGTGATCACAAGTCCACGGCAAAGCAATTTTTAAAAACTCCATTTTGATTTCAAGATGCTAGTTTCCATTTATTTAGAGGTTTCAAAGTGTCGACAGTTTCTCTTTCTACAGTGAGGGGAGGTTGGATGGCTTGACATTAACTTGCATTGTAGCATCGGTAAAGTCTTTGTAGCATTTGTAAAAATCTCTTGCACTTGTTAAATATGTGCTGCAGGATCTGTTGCATACAGTCACAGGCTGAGCTGCTATTAGCACTAACAGAATGTACTGAGGGTAAAGTAAGCGGTTTGTTTGTTTCTATATAACCGAGTGTGGCCTATTAGCTCCGTATTAGTCAGTGAGCTCTGGGGGTTCTCACCATTAGAGAAACCCCTTTGTAAGCAGCTGATAACTCTCTGAGTAAGGCAACGCTAGAGGAGATCGCATAGGGATCAAAGGTTTACAGTCCACTGACTTACACTGGGAGATTGGAATGAAAAATTCAATTTATCAGGAGATCAAATTCATTGTTTCACACTCAGACAGGAAAGCCAGATGTCTGTCCAAACAGCGGCAAAAAGGGGACTGTAGCAATTAATAGTAGCACTTTACAGGAACAACAGGGAAACAAAATACAATGTAACAACACAGGATGGTAAACCGTAACTCTTAAAATAATAAAACTTCAACATAGCATGCATATGAGCAAATAAATTAAAAGTTAATACTCTGAAGCATAGCTGCTGAATGTGATAATAACTATACTAGACTGGTTGAAGTGCTGTATTGAATCATTTTGGGGAAACATCTCAAATAACTGTCCCGTTGTCCACCTACAGTATAAAAATTCATTGTTTTGGCTGGCTTTCACGTAAGAGTGGAAGGATGTGTGTGCGCGCGCTACGAGGCAGAGATGGCCGCGCTAAGTTTGGCCTTTTGCTCTCCAGGAAGTGAGGTCACAGCTGCTTGGAAGTCTGCAGAGTGGTGCTGGGCAAATTCTTTCATCAGCATGGCCAGAGTGTTCTGGGTCTCTGTGGAGGAAAGACAAAAGAAGAGTTGAGGGATGACAGAAAGACACTGAAGATAGATGACTAACAGCAACGTTCCAGCAGCATGCTGATGAGAATACTGTGCAGGGACTGAGTGAGGATGCTCAGTGAGGGGGAACATTCAACTCAGTGAAGGCTGTACTATGTTTTCTCTGTATTTTTCAGTAACATAAGATGTACACATAGCTTTAAAAAGAGTTTGAGCTTTGAGTTTAGTTTGGATGACTCAGTGCAGTTTATATAAACGGGCTGCCTGTTACCAAAGAATTATTCACCTGTATCAACACTCTTGTTGCCAAGGACATGACTGGAAGCTGCGACTATGGGCTTCATCAGCTTCACAATCTAAGAAGGAAAGAAAATTTGAAAAAGATTAGAAGAAATATGGTAACAATGTGCAATGTTGACATCCAAGAACCAAACTCACACATATTTCAGGACTGTCATCAAGGCAGTTTATTAAAACGGATACTTTTGAATTGAATGTTTAGCTTTGTGCATCCTGTTTTCATCTCTATGTCTTGTTAAATTGCTAAACATTTGTCTAAATTCTTTAAGAATTGCATGATGTAGAGAGTTTAAATACACAGTAGTATGTTAATACTGTATAAAACATAACAAAATGTAATTAAAGAAGTAAGTGAAAGATTTGCCTGATAGTGGTTTCTACATGTGTACAGCTGCTCCAGAATGAATAATGTACTTTCACTCACTTTCTAACATCTTTGTTGTCAGAAGAAAATCTAGATATGACCCCTTTCGGGCATGAGGTAAAGCACTGAAACAGAACTGGTTACAAATTGTACCTGTAGTGCTTTCACTCAAACAATGGAGACAGAATCTCAACACATATACCCTCTACACAGAGACTGTAATACCGGGTGTTAATGGTGCTTATACTGTACCAGAGCAGGACTGTT